GTCTGAAGAGGAGCCCACGAATGTTGGAAGACTCATCATTTTATTCCCGGGGTCCGCAGTGCAGAGAGGCAGAGTGAAGGGAAGTAGGAGATGATGCCTGGTTCATCTAGACCGGCCAAACAGGGACCTTCTAAACGTAAAGTTTCTAGACAACTACAATTCAGAAATCAAGTTGTTTTTTTTTTTAAATGCCTATCAAAGTTTAAAGGCACGTACATTTTAACTCAGATTTTACTTGCAGGAATTATTCAAGTATCCTCACCATTGTCATAGCAAAAAGCCCACCAATAGAGGACAAGTTAAGGAAACTGTGGCACATCCTTGAGTGGGATGTTATGCAACTGTGGAAAAAAAGTGAAGCGGCAATTTACACACTGCTGTGGAAGGAACAGATCTCGAGTGAATGTCAAAGCCAGGCATATGACAACAAGTACAGCATAATACTCTTTGTGAAAGATGAATATAAAGTGTATGTCCCTAAGTACTTATACATGATAAATTCTACCTAGAATAAACCACAAGAAACTGGTAACATTAGGTGCCCTCTGGGAGTGAAACTAACTGGTGAGAAAGTGGGGTCATTTTGTACTTTTGAATTATATATATAATAAAGTACATTTATTGCTTATTCAGAACCACCACCACCTTCCAAAAACCAAACTGTTCTTGCTTATATGGGACACAAATCTAGTATTCTTAAAAGAACACTGGCCGGAGAGTCAGACATCCCTGGGAAGGAGGTTAAATGCCCCTGGGTAGGGTCATTGCACAACTGAAATGTGACAAAGCACAGACAGGCAGACAGCTAAGAAGTGATAGCTCCAGCCCCTGCTGAGTTTCCCAGTCTAAGTGGGAATTGGATTTCCAGCTCTTGTGTTGGTTTGATTGCTGAAAGGTAAATCAGGCCAGAGATGGTGCCTAACGCCTGTAATTCTAGCACTCTGGGAGGCCAAGGCGGGTGAAGTGATTGAGCTCAGAAGTTCCAGACCAACCTGAGCAAGAGTGAGACTCCATCTCTAAAAATAGAAAAACTGAGGCAAAAAGGTCACTTGAGCCCAAGAGATTAAGGTTGCTGTGAGCTATGATGATATGACACTCTACCCAGGGCCACAGAGTGAGACTGTCTAGAAAAAAAAAAAAGGAAATGGGTGGTGTCTACTAAATGCTGAGTGGCCTTGATCCTGGGGTAGATGAGCAAGAGCCTGGGAGGAGCCAGCAGGGAAGGAGGGAGAGGGAATTCTCTCTGGGGCCATCCTGCCACTCCCTGTGCCAACAACATCCAGGGCACGGAAACTCCCAGGAGGCTACCTGGTGGGGCCACAGGCTGCCCCTAGTGTGCCCACCGCCTGGGAACAAGGCCTAATGAGACAGGTAGCTGGCTTCAGGGAGGATCAGTGGTGCACAATTGAAAATATTGATTTGTGGCTGGGCACAGCAGCTCATGCCTGTAATCCTAGCACTCTGGGAGGCAGATTACTTGAGCCTGAGCAAAAGTGAACTCTGTCTCTACTACCGTGTTTCCCCGAAAATAAGACCTACGCAAAAAATAAGCCCTAACAGGATTTCTATGCATTTGTTAAATATAAGCCCTACCCCAATAATAAGACCTAGTGATGGGCGTGGCTAGGTAGCATATCTGCATAGCCACCCCCTGCATTTCTGCGCAGACACGGATGCCGGGTGGTGGTAACCATGGTCACAGGCATCCTATTGTGCACATGCGAAGGGCTAGGGAAAAGGAGTTCACACATCACTAGTGCCAGCCCCACCAACAAGGTCAGACCCCCCACTCCCCCCACCCCCATCAGGTTCCAGAAGATGACTTAACTGTATTTGAATAAATGTAGATTGTTGTATTATACTTAATAAAAATAAGACATCCCCTAAAAATAAGCCCTAGTGTCTTCTTGAGAAAAAATAAATATAAGACAATGTCTTATTTTGGGGAGAAACACAGTAAAAATAGAAAAACTGAAGGTCACATAAGCCCAAGAACGTGAGGTTGCTATGAGCTATGATGCCACAGTACTCTAGTCAAGGCACCAGGATGAGACTCTGTCTCAAAAAAAAAAAAGAAGACTCAGCACCCATGGCTCAGTGAGTAGGGTGCCAGCCACATACACCAAGGCTGGTGAGTTGAAGCCCGGCCCCGGCCTGCTAAACAGTAATGATAATTGCAACCAAAAAATAGTCAGGCATTGTGGCCGGCTCCTGTAGTCCCAGTTACTTGGGAGGCTGAGGCAAGAGAATTGCTTAAGCCCAAGAGTTTAAGGTTGCTGTGAGCTGTGACACCACAGCACTCTACCAAGAGTGAGGGCGGGCAACATAGTGAAACTCTGTGTCAAAGAAAAGAAAAGGAAGAGAAGAGGGGAGGGGAGGAAAGGGAAGGAGAGGAGGAGAGAGGAGAGGAAAGGAGAGAAGAGAAGAGAAGAGGAGAGGATAGGAGAGGAGAGGAGAGAAAAAAAGAAAAAGAAAACATTGACTTGGGCAAGTCGTCCCTCTCTCTGGCTACTGCAACTGCCCAGAGCTCTAACACCACCCAGCTGAGTCCCGGGACATGCTGAGAGGCCCAGGTCACACATGAGCAGAGAAAGTTGGTTTTATAATTTTCTTTTTTTTTTTTTTTGAGACAGAGCCTCAAGTTGTCACTCTGGGTAGAGTTCTGTGGCATCACAGCTCACAGCAACCTCCAACTCCTGGGCTCAAGCGAGTCTCCTGCCTCAGCCTCCTAAGTAGCTGGGACCACAGGCGCCTGCCACAATGCCTGGCTATTTTTTGGTTGCAGCCATCATTGTTGTATGGCGGGC